AAGTCAACAAGGAATCTCACCGGGGCTGTTGTTGCAACGATCATGTAATTTCCATCATCCGTGAAAAGCATGCAATCTGTCCGCAAAGAAGCACTTTCCAAACGAGAGGTTCCCATCATCATGGTCACCTCGGATTCTAATTCGAATAATCGCTGCAAGACTTGTTTGATTCATCAGAAGAACAGATTGAAAAAAATGAACATCGCCGCTAATTGGCAGACAGAGTAAATCGAACTTCTGCAAAACTATACCCCGCAGATATCTTCGGCAGAACTTGAACGAGCGCTTTCGACGCCCAGATAACGAAATATTCGAATAGAACGTAGATTTACACGAAATGTGATGAGCCTCGATCCATCAGGTGTCCATGAAACCACATGATCTTGCAAGTGACGAGCCTCCGGCACCTAAAAGGATTATCTGTTAGCCTATTTCTTTTCATGTCATTTCGCGTAAAAGTTCTAGAATTCGGATTCTGTCCCCCCAAAAGAATCTGATATCAATTTTCCCGTCCCCGGAAGCAGAAAACTTGGCTGGCCTGGGCAAGAGCCAATACGCGGTTTGACCCCGCGTGGTAAGCAAGCTACTTGCCCCCACACCATCTCTGACTTTAGATTATTTTATTTTCCAGAACAAACGCAGATCACTCTAGCGCACGATCCGTGACATAATCTCGTTGACTGCAGTTTTTTTTTAATTTTAGGTTGAAATGTATTCTAAACACCGCTCCGGATCAGAATATTACTGGTTTGAGAAGCTGAAGTAAATACGACTCCCGATCGAGAAAAATGAGGGTCAAGAAGTCCTATTCACCAGCTTCACCCATTTTGTAACCTATGTCAATTTTCAAGCAAAAAGCTTCCGGCATGTTTGTGAAACGATTCCCTCTTCGAACATCCTTTGGGACCCGGGCGATTCTATCGTCGGCAAGTCAGGTCACGTCGCGCACATCGCGTCGCGGCGTCTCGCGCGGCGGCGCGGTGCGACAATTCCGGAGTTGCATTACCGACATACAATGAGTCTCGAAGACCGCGTATTCACAAGTTCCGAAAAGCCCAAAATTGGATCAGTAATTTTGAACAAATAACGTGGGACCAGTCTTACACCCCTTTACTTTTGAATGCGGAAAAAACAATAAAAAACAATCATTGATCATCATAGGAAAATGGGACAAGCAGTACAGGATTAACATAAACAATATGGCTTGATGATCATTTTAACAATTTCAACGAGCACGACGCAGCAGGACTCGTACGCGGCGCCCACCAGCGCGGCGACCTACTTATCATCGACGATAGAATCGCCACACACCCACATTTGGTATAGAGGATCAGCACCTTATCAAACTGTTTGCCAGAGCACGTGGATTTACCAGTTTTCCACCATCAAAAGTTTGATGGAGCCTTCTAGTATTTTCAAGCCTTTTGAAAGAACAACACTTTCTGAAAAAACTGCCATAGACCGCTTCTCTCACAGATCTGTGCGCATGTGGGTGTGAGGGGGGGAGGAGGATTGGCATGGGCTCGGCCGGCAAACATGGAGGGTGCCACGTAAGGGCCTAACAGTTACGCCCAGTTACTTTACATGCCGAAAACAGTAACACTGCAGACCCCATTCACGAATTCTAAAAACCACGACAGTATTGGTTAGGACCGCTCGCTGCTAAAATCTTGAGGCACAAGGAAGGCAAGCTGCCCCGGGGCTAAATGGCCAACACTGTTGTACTATGCAAAAAACCGGAGATCGGGGAAGTAGCAAATATGCTTGAAGCTTCCAGAAATAGAAAGAACTATTATTGCTGGGAACTTAAAAAAAGACAGTTTGACAACTCTTACCCACCTCTACTACACGATCCATAGCCACAGTCGAATAAAACTCACGTCGGTTGCGAACATGCCGTACACCTGAAAAGAACTATGAATGGTAGAACCTGCTTAATGCCAGCACATGGGAAAGCAATTCTCGACCCAAGGAAAATTTTGGAAGATTCACAGCGTCATTCCTAACAAATCGTTTGACCCATGTTCTAATGAATTCCGACTGAAATCACGCTATAATGAATCGATGCCGACCAGAGTTTCTATTCAACTAGGAACGTGATGCTAAGCACGAACCATGCATCTTTTTCACTTCTGTTTGTTTATTTTTCCGTGTAATTAGGGCCAATCGACATCTTCCGTTCTCCAGCGGCAGACGAATTTGAAGCAGAAACACGCTCACTACCGAACTGGGAATCCAGTTCTCCGTAGGGGCAAAGAAGCGCTAGTACCTTGCGCTGACATCCAGGGACTCCATAAAACGATCAGATACATCCTCGGCATCCTCCCGCCGCATTTTATGAATTCTCCTACCCGATCGACTAGCTTAGTCCAAGGCGAAATGTCGATAAGTATCTTTGTCTCGCGGATCATTGGATTCTCGGAGACCAGTTACGCTTACTTGTCCTTCCCAGATATTTCTGAATTCTCCTATTCTGTGATCCTCAAATGGCTGTAGTGCGGCGCGCCAAGTTACTTACGGGTCCAATGTGAGCGCGCAGCATGCCCTAAAAAGGTAAGTCGACAACAACGTTAACAATATAAGTCTGATCGAAGAGTTTGCGTTGTTTGCAATCAGCTCACTATGCGATTCCGTAACCACACATACTAGTGCCACACACTAGGAAGCCCAGTGGATGGGCTGAATTCAGGAATGCCTTCAGAGCAACAACATTAGCCGTCTCTTATTCCCACCGTTGAAGCTGGACGGAGAGCATTGGCAAGAACTCACATGCAAGCATTACGTTTCATATCCTGGGACAGAGGTAGGCCCGGTCACGCACTTTAATTGTGCGTGGAGGCTTCCGCGTTTTTTAGTTCGTCGTTTTCGGGCAGTTGTTCGTCATACATGACAAAAGTTGATGATAGCTGCTCCAAAAGGCAATATTCCAGATGAAACGCGGCCTCCGCCCATCCAAATGAGTACGCAGCCAAGCCAAACCCTTTTCCAGGATATGGAGTGCCCTTTCATTCCAATTGGGCTACACCAGGATCTTCATGGGATAGGAATAAAGTTACAATGACCATAATCACTAACCGTTACGTGCATAGCCACGTTCCCTTTCAGCAAGCATAATGACTATGTTATCGCTGGGTTGAACATACGCCCTCCTTTCTTGCCAATCTTGACCAAAGAGAGAACCAGGTGATGATGGACCAGGAGTGAATTCGATTTCCTCTGACACCTTGTTCCTAGTGGACATATTTCCTAGTAACACTTACTCTATGATTAACTTACAGAATGTACAATTACTAATGCACCGTATCGAAATGGAGATACGGTTCCGCACAACACGCTCTACAGTCTATGATGAAAATAATATAGGACACTCTTTATCTAACTTTTACATAACCTAATACAACATAATCTAATTGATCGTATTCCACTCGAAGTAGTCCGGTTTGAAGTGTCCTGGTGGTGGGTGATTTTCCAGGAACGCTTTGTCGAGTTTGCCTTGCCAGTATAGCTTCCGGCGTTGAGCGGCGATCGCTTCAGCACGCTGTAAAAAAAGAGCATAACTGTGCCCAGAGAAGGGGATAAACTGCTGAATTTTCCTCAAATAAGAATAACACTACCAGCGTTTAAGATTTCTTCTCACGATAAAGGAGAGAGGGTGTTAGGCAAGCCAATACCCGATAGTACCCGATTAAAAAGCAAACTGATCATTGGTCACACCCTAAGCGGATGCTGGGCCACTAATACTTTCTCCGCATCCTTCAGTGCTAATACCGTCTGAAACCGTACAGTGGAAAAAAAACCAACAAAAAGCACGATGTAAAGACGAAACTCGTGACAGAAAAGAGTCTGACGAACTATTGCACCAATGCAAGAACATCGTTGGTGATAGAAAATAATAAGTGAGAGAGAATTACTCATGAGCACGAGCGCAGGCATCGAAAATCTACACGCAATTCGGATTTACGTCCGCAGCCCACCAAACAAGTGAGTCCCCGCGTTAAAGCGAAAGAGGACATTTGTAGGTTGGCAGTCTAACTTAGTGGGTGTCGTGTGGGAATTTGAACTTACGAGGGGTGCAGCACCCTCGCCACTCACAGCTGGGAATCGCGTGAGTGGGACAAGCTTTGAGCCTGGGGACTGGACTACTTGGACAAAGAAGGAAGTAAACCAATTGGTGAGACTGCCTTTAAGCCATTTCCCATAAACTCGAAACTGAGAGCTTGTTACTTCACATTCCCACATAGCAAATACTTGTACCTTTGTCTCTACTCCCATTCCGAGTTTTCTCACTTTTCGCAAACTCTCCCGTCCTTTCCTCTGAATTCACTTCCTCTAACCTTCCTAACTATCCACCTACCCATAATCCATTTCATATACCTGATTTTGTCTTGCTTCTTCTAGTCTCTTTATTCGGGCAGGAACATTCATCGATTTTTTCCTTCTACCCCATCGTTATCATTCTATAAGCCCCGACGAGTATCATGCCTGAAATCTCAGCACTTCCTCACACCGACTCTTTCGGTTATAACTGCACAAGATCTTGGAAAATAAGTAAGCC